AGCCTGTTATTGTATACAGGAGTATTGTCAGTGTATTAGTTAAACCTTATTGCTTCTAAAACAAAAATTGTCAAGGAAGAATATTGTGAAAGAAAAAAACGTTACTTTCTTAATTGGAAAAAGGGGCACAAATGAAGTCTAATGGAATGGCTTCGATTAGCCTTGGAGGAACACAAAATCAATGTTCTTCAACAATTGATCCTACATCCTGCAAAAGTTTTAATTATCATGTAAGAGGCCCTTATACTCAACTTACACAGACGACTACTTATGTATTGGACAACCGATTTTCAAATAATTAAACCTTTTGTTTATGGCAAAGTGCACTTCGTAGATGCCTATAAATAGGTACTTCAATACAGGAAATTATTTTCAAGAGTAAATCCATTTGAATGAAAAAAAAACTTTCCTTACATATTTGCCCATGGAAGAAGTGGTTAGAAAGTGACATTCAGGAGATAAAGGTACTCAAAGTTGACCCATTTTGCATACCCACCATACAATGAGACATCCATGTCCTCAACACTGGAGAATATAAACGGTTGACTTTGATATAATTTAAAAGCTTACAAACAGTGTTGTCAAACTATTGTAATTTTTAAACCTTTAACGTCAATAATCTGAAAACGTGTAAACTCAGATATGTTGTAGCTTAGACCTTATTTCACATGATCTGAGGTTTTTGTTTTGTGCCCTCCATCGGTTGTGACACAATATGCTCTCGAATACAGGATGGGTGTCATTTCAATCATAGAAAGGTCCATTCTATGGATTACATATCGCTTCAGACCACTGCAATTTAGCTGGTACACAATTGAAATTGAATTGAAATGTAACTTCTAATTACTACCACAAAGATGACCGCCGGTCCACCTACCGTTGAATGAAGGATTGACAGTATAATTTAAAACAACAGATATTCCCATTCAAGTTAACATTCTCTGATGTGTGGACCTCCAAACATCTTTGTGGTACCATTTTGAAAGTTGAAATGTCTATTTTATTCCCATTTTAGTACATTTGTCAGCAAAACATGACAACCACCCTATATTCAAGAGCACTCCTATTTGCCATATCTTCAATTTAAGTCTACTAGAAAGAGTGTGCCCTCAGGCCTGGAGAGAAGCAAAAGTCATTATGCTACCTAAGAATAGTAAAGCCCCCTTTACTGGCTCAAATAGTTGACCAATCAGCCTGTTACCAACCCTTAGTAAACTTTTGGAAAAAATGGTGTTTGACCAGATACAATGGTATTTTACAGCAAACAAATTGACAACAGACTTTCATCATGCTTATAGGGAAGGACATTCAACAAGCACAGCACTTACACAAATGACTGATGATTGGCTGAGAGAAATTGATGATATAAAAAGATTGTGGAGGCTGTTTTGTTAAACTTCAGTGCGGATTCTTACATTATTGATCATAGCCTACTGCTGGAAAAACGTATGTTATGGCTTTACACCCCCTGCTATATTGTGGATAAAGAATTACCTGTCTAACAGAACACAGAGGGTGTTCTTTAATGGAAGCCTATCCATAGAATCAGGAATTCCCCAGGGCAGATATCTAGGCACCTTACTTTTTTCAATCTTTACTAACTACATGCCACTGGCTTTGTATGCGGATGACTCAACACTATACACGTCAGCTACTACAGCGACTGAAATGACTGCAACACTTAACAAAGAGCTGCAGTTAGTTTCAGAATGGGTGGCAAGGAATAAGTTAGTCCTAAATATTTCAAAAACTAAAAACATTGTATTTGGTACAAATAATTCACTAAACCCTAAACCTCAACTAAATCTTGTAAACTGCTTGGAGTAACCCTGGATTGTAAACTGTCATGGTCAAAACATATTGATACAACAGTAGCTAAGATTGGGAGAAATCTGTCCATAATAAAGCGCTGCTCTGCCTTCTTAACAGCACTAACAACAAGGCAGGTCCTACAGGCTCTAGTTTTGTCGCACCTGGACTATTGTTCAGTCGTGTGGTCAGGTGCCACAAAGAGGGACTTAGGAAAATTGCAATTGGCTCAGAACAGGGCAGCACGGCTGGCCCTTAGATGTACACAGAGGGCTAACATTAATTATATGCATGTCAATCTCTCCTGGCTCAAAGTGGAGGAGAGATTTACTTCATCACTACTTGTATTTGTGAGAGGTATTGACATGTTGAATGCACCAAGCTGTCTGTTTGAACTACTGGTACACAGCTAAGACACCTATGCAATAAAATGACAATTTTTATCATAAAACCTTTATTTTCCAGAAATTATTAAATAGTTTGACAACCCTGTTTGTGAGCTTTTTAAATTAGATCAATCTCAACTGTTTATCTTTTCCAGTGATTGAAACATGGGTTTATCCTCAAGTAATTTTTCTGGATGATTGTTCTCGATGATCAATGTCATTTGTTTTCTTTGGGCAAGATGAGAAAACATTGTTGCTGCACCAAACATGTGCACTTACATGATGCTGCCTTGTTTGGTGTTGTAGGTGTTCATTGTCCTGGTGTAGACACTGGGTCCCACCTGACACTCTCTTTTACTATAACGTCCTTAGGGAGAAGTTCTATGTGTGTTTGGTTATGACCTGAACAATGCTACTGACTTTCGCCCAGGCTGTAATTGTTCTCTTGAATGGTTTTCTAGACTTAGTTTTTAAATGGTGATTTTTCCAGTCAAATGTTCCTTCCATATGTGTTGCCATTAATAGAGGAACATGTTGGAACAAGTCTGGTTTTCTCTCACTATTATATTGAATTAGTTGTGTGCGTTCTTGCTTGTGCGTGCCTGCGTGCGCCAGAGGTCCCTTTTTAAACCACAATTGCACCACTTCCCTTCAAGCCACAGACAGTACATGTTCGGTGCAACAAACATCAAACAACAAGCATTGTCAGGACAAAGAGTCAAGAGCCAGAGAGATGGAGAGCAGAGCATGTTTGTATTTGGTTCAACGGAACATGAAGAAATAAACTGTGATGATACGTGATAGTGATCGGGAATCAACACACTGCTTTACCCTTCACTAACCTTAACTAAATGGTGTTTGTTCTCTCTTTTTCTCTTCCAGACTCTTTTGTCAACAGCCAAGAATGGACATTGAGTCGATCAGTGCCAGAGCTCAAAGTGGTGAGTAGTATTCATCATAACTTCAGCCCGTATTAATCGTCTGACATTGGCACTGCGAGAGGAAGATAAGTTCAGCATTAGCATTGGATTGATTTAAACGTCAATGCCAGTGCATGCTCTATGCATGTCAAAAACATTTATTCTCATTCTGCATGAGAGAGAGAGAGTAGAGTACAGAAATTGGCTGGAATATTCCCTGGCACCAAGCAAGACTGTGGGTGATTATTAATTATGCTTTTATTGCGTTGGCATGGTGATGCGGAGCGCAGAGTGGCTTGCAGCAGACGAAGAGATGAGTGACAGTTTTGGGGTAGACGAGTGACACTTACTGGGTCTGATCCACCTGCTGGCACAACAGTTCTTACCACTGCCACACACACACACACACACACACACTGCTCACATCCTCACTGGAAGAAAGGAATGCTTCACGCACATAATCAATAGGGATATAACCACAAAGCCGCATTCCACCGTTCCAGTGGCAAATACTGTAGTATTCATAGTATTTTGGTCTTCTATGAATTGGTAAGGGTCGTGCATCACATCAGAAAGATCCTATGGGAATCTGAGACAAATCAGATGGGGGAACTTTTATGAAGAACATGATTTCTAACCATGGAAAATTTGATAGAGCTCATTGTCCTTTATATAGTATAAGGTGTTAATTAGCTCCACACACTTCAGAGGTTAAGTGAACTGATACTGGATTCAGCAGGAAAAAGACTAGGACTGTCAGAGAAGGGACAGAACTTCAATTTCTTCGACAGTTCCATATGGCAGTATTGGACAGAAGTAGTTCATTCATATGTTATGTTTCCCAATAGAATGGATAGATGTTATCGTTCCAACATGTATGCTATTGCACTCATGGGGGAGATGAGCTGATACTGTGTAGTACTGTCTTCCCAAAACTTCACATTAAAAACATCGTATTCAAACCTGGACTTTGATAATGAACCACAGACTGATCCTTTAAAAAAGTATCTGCTTTCATCTTCCTGAACTTATTAATGATGGGCTTACGACATAGCAGGTAACAAAGTTTTACAGTTCTAACACAATCCCTGCGCCTTTTGTAGTTCGTTTCAGTTATGAGTAGCTCCTAGCTTGTTATTCTTCAGTTCTTGATAGACTACTACTTATTGTCCTTTCCAAAGCCAACTTCCTCCTTATGAAGACCATAAGTATTATGAGGGAGAAGATAGGTAGTTTATTCCACCCCCCCACCACACACACAGTCCCCTGTAATTAAAACCATACCTGACTTTACCACCCACTAATGATCTAAAGAAGAATTGGATGAAGGAAGAGTGGAGGGGTGGAGGAAGGGATGAGGGTGTGTTGGAGGAGCCTTTATTCTCCCCCAGACTTCCTGGCATCATCAGCCACCCCAGCCTGGGAGCGTCCCAGCCCCAGCACACCCTCCGTCAGGCTTCACCTGGGGGAAAACAGCAGTCAGGGCTTGGGCCTAGACAACCACCAGGGGGAGTATGGAAAACATTAGCTGAACATATACAGTACTGTTCCCTTGGTGTCTTACCTTTACCCTATAAGCACCATCTGTTCATGTGAAAGTCCATAGGCTGAGGCCTTTGGCATTGGTTAGTAGTGTAACCGTATCTACAACATATTGCCGCTACAAACTGAACATTTTACTATTACTAGTACTAGTCGTGTTACTAGACTTTTAATAGTACTAGTATTTTGCCGTCTTGCTGTTTCACCAATCATAATTTGTATACAGGTCAAGCTGCAGAGGCTCTGGCTATGATTGGCGGTGTAACCTTCCATACAACATACATGTCCTGGAATGAACTACGTGTGAGTGTGGTGTCATGTGACCATGTTGTTGTTTCTGCAGGGTATTGTGGGTAATCTGTCGAGCGGGAAGTCGGCCCTGGTCCACCGGTACCTGACAGGCACGTACGTGCAGGAGGAGTCCCCTGAAGGTAAGAGACAGACCCTGCTGCTTAAATCCTGAGGGAGGAGAGAGCCGTCACATGTTCAAAAAAGCTAAAAGGTTTTCAACTTGTCAGTCAACACATGAACGCATCACTTGAGGCAGAGCTGTCTGTTCCTTCTTATAGCTGTGATGGTATCTCGCTAATCTAGTCCATCTACTGGCCCTGCTGCGTCATAAATGTAAATGTCATTTGAGATCTTTATAATAATTCATAAAGGCTTATAAAGTTATTTTAAGGTTTTACCAGGTTATTGGCTGTCCGAAACCTGTTGAAATACCACCTGGAATGATCAATTGGCAAGACAATCTGTATTTTGGTTGATGTTATTCTAGCTGGGGATAGATACGGACAAAGTACAAAGACAGGGCTGGGCTTGATGTTTACAGTAAGCTGTATACAAACTCAATTCATAATTAGCAGTTAGTTTGAGTGTTTTCCACATGGTGTATGGAGAGAAAAGAGAAACCTGCATTATCTTCGCTTATCATTAACGGTAAGCCAGGTGTGTTGGTGTATTTTCTGTTGTTGTTATTGTTTTGTATCAGTCGACGCAGTGTCCAATTTTATCTCAAACCCAAGGATGTGGAGAGAGATGAGTTGGAGATAATTGGCTTTTTATCTGTTAGTATAAATTAATGACAGCTTGAGCAAATCATTGTCTATGAAAGAGAGAGGGCTGCTGCGTTAGAATGATAATTCCCAAACACATCAAGGTAAAACTAAGACCTGGGCTTAAAGCACTAAATCCTACTATAACCCTTCATTTCAGAGGGAAAGGGGATTATAGTTGCTGTCATGAACATGAACAGTTTCTGCTTAGGGAGCTGTGAAGCTATGAACGAGAGGGTTGTGTTTATTTCTACAGTTGGAGCCCATTCCCAAACATTCCACTGTGGCTTCACAGAATCAAAACTGAAGAATTCTCCATTTTGATTATCAGGCGGAAATCAGAAGCGAAGGCTGTCCGAACCCGCAAAGATGTTGGCAAACCAGAGTCAAATGACAATCTTGGACGGGGTTTGGATGGTTTGTAGTGTCTGTTTTTGTGTAATTACTGTATACAGAGGATGATGAGACATGAAGCGCATAATGAGTTCCTGGCATTAAGATGCTGCTTCACTAAAGGAAAGAAACAATCCTGAATGCTTAATTAGGCCTAGAGATATCAATGACAAAAATGCTGGAATGCAAAAACCTGAGTGCTGGTTTTGGTAATTCTGGAAACATGTTGTTTCTTCATTTTATACAGATCACTGCATCATTGCCGTGATACAACATACTGCTCCGTCTCCCATCATTAACAGGTGGTAAAGGGTCTCCTTTTAGTCTCATTCCTAGCACATTGCTTAGCCCAGACGAATCAAATCAAATCAAATGTTATTTGCCACATGCACCGAATACAACCGGTGTAGACCTTACAGTGAAGTGTAGACCTTAACCAACTATGCAGTTTTAAGAAGAAGAAAAAAGAAGTGTTAAGTAAAAAATAGATAAGTAAAAAATAAAAATAGCAAATAATTAAAGAGCAGCAGTAAAATAAAAGAACAGTAGGGAGGCTATATACAGGGGGTACCGGTACAGAGTCAATGTGCTGGGCACCGGTTAGTCGATGTAATTGACGGTAATATGTACATGTGGGTAGAGTTAGAAACTATCCCTCCTCTGTAGATTTGAAAGAGGCTACCTCGCTTCTAAGAAGAGTTGGTGGTAGTAGTACTAGTGTTTTCTGTTTGGTCCGTGCCATTCATTCACCCAGCAGCTCTACTTTACAGTGTTTTATTCTACTATGTTGCTAGTTGCTGTGATATCTGAAAAAAGGTAGTATCGGGACGGGAGGGAGGTGTTGCCATGGCAACATCGGATCTGGTTCTGTTTGAATTGTGGCTCCGTGTCAAGGTCTCTGAGCATATGCATTCCATTCTAGAGCTGGATATGCCTATTGCCTACTGCCTGCCCACAATTTCAGCTACCATCTCAAAACCTGTGTGTGACTGTGTGTGTGTGTGTTAGACTCATCTGTATGTTGATAGAAAAGCTATAAACACTCTATTCATTAGCCACGTCCAGGCAAAATTATTATACATTAATTGCTTGCCTACCCTAATACAGATTGAGTGTCTCTCGTTATTGCTCTACAATTACTGTAGTTTTGCTTAATTAGTTTGGCACTGAGATTCAACAGACGTTCCACAGTACGGATGGTTTCTCCTCCGACCTCAGGATATGTTGTCAATGCTTGCCTGTGAACAGTCACAGACACTGCCAGGATGACGTTGATGTTATGTAATCTAAATGTAGGTCTTTACTTAAATGCACATCCATTTCATACCATGGAAACAGAAGATGCTATTTGGTATAACACTCTCATTATACCATTTTCAAGGGCTTCTTATCATTTCATGTGCAGCCGACCTATTCCATTTACCTCCTCCAGAATCATTTCAAATTTCCTCTAAGTCTGACCCTTTGATCCAGATACATTCATTTTCTCATAAGATATGACTATACTGGGTATTACTATGGGTATCACTTTTCTGACATTTCCTCTAAATGGGAATTTCCTGGCATATGGAGACTCATCAGTCCGATCAGTGCTCCAATCTCAGACCTCTGCTACTTCAGTGGAGGAAAGTTGGCTTAGCTTCTGTGAGTCTCTCTCTTTGGATATTACACAACTCAACTGATGTCGGGGAGAATCCCCCTTCGCCAAATGGGCTAAAGTGAACTTAATGGGAGCAAGTGTGGCTCAAGTGGATCTGTATTGCATGTTGGCGCTAGCTAGAACACTGCCTACCTAGCCCTTGAAGACTGCAGGCAGAGCCAGTCGCTGTGACCTCGCTTGCTCTTTTGCAAAGGTGGGATCTGCACAAACAAAGTGTCAGTTAGAAAGTTCAAATTCAGTTGTGAAACTGTTATGAACTCCCCATATTCTCTCCCTCTTATTACATAATGCTGTAACAGATAACACGGCGGATTATGAAATATCTGGTGTTGCCGCAGCGGTAGATATTTCATTTATGTCTGTAGTTTTTCACCCTCAGTATACTCCTTTTGATATATGTTAATATGCCCACTCTTACACCTTTCATGCAGTCGTACATTATTCAATATTGTTTGAGACGGCTTGAAGCAGATATTCTGCATTCGAAAAAGCAAGGTTTTATTTCGCCTAGCTCCCCAACTTTCTCCCTTTAATATTTTAAATCTCTGCAGGATCTCAAACTATTCCAATGTTATGCAAAATCCAATTTAGTGCGAGGTATTCCCATCGGTCTGTATATTTTATCTGCAGCCAGCCTTGCCAGAGGCAAGGAATACGAACATGCATTCAAAGAGATGAGGGGGAAAAAGTCAAGGCTGACTATAGAAGCTAATTCTACTATATAGCGTCTCTAGTCTCCACTATCTTGTGGCCATGAACTACACCAACTTTAGATTAAAACTTCTCTATTTTCTTCTATTATCTTCCATCCTCTCCTTCCATCTCTCTATCTCAGGCTCCGGGCTACGTCCATTCTAGGGCTACGTCCATGCCTTATCACTTCCTTACAGAATCCCAAAATACATTGTCTGTCTGCTGTGCTGGCTAATACACTAGCATGCTAACTTATATCTCATGGAGTTCTGAATCAGCGATGGAGACGGATCTCTAAGCAAGGCTAGCTGGTGGTTATGTAGTGAATTTAGGTGGGGGTTCGGGCTGGGTCTACGGCTTGTGGCAGTGCTCTGTGACGGTGTAGTGGAGCAGGTTTTCTCAGCAGCTGTGTGCATTTAGACATGCTAAATGGCAATTTCCCTGTCTGGTAATTGACTCTGGAGACCCTGTTTCCTCACCCAGCTTCTGATTTTTCATTGAGACAGCGGGGCCAAATCAAACCACAGTCTATTCACTGCAATTTCCCTGTCTGGTAATTGACTCTGGAGACCCTGTTTCCTCACCCAGCTTCTGATTTTTCATTGAGACAGCGGGGCCAAATCAAACCACAGTCTATTCACAATCACATGCAGGATGGATGTCTCCAAACTATCATCAAAACCTTATCAGAATGGAAAGTAATCTATGGGAAGGCCTAAATCTGACTCATGCCTAGGCCTACTGGTGTGTGTTGGTGAAAAATATTGGTATTAATATTGAATTTTGGTGATTTAGCTGTAGCAGAACCAAACATGTTTTCAGTGACAATTAGTAGAGTAGCAAGTGCTTTACACCACTTTAGGCCTGAGTTTAGCCCTCTACCTTCATTTTGCCAACCCCTTCAATAGGCAGGGTAAAGTAGATCAATTCACATTGGCTGTATTAATAATGATGAAGCATGATTCTAGGCCATGCACCACCAAATAAGTCACCCTGACATTTCTTTCCTCTTCCTCAGGTGGTCGGTTCAAGAAGGAGATCGTGGTTGATGGACAGAGCTACCTGCTGCTGATCAGAGACGAGGGAGGCCCCCCGGAGCTGCAAGTACGTACGCTCAGCTTGCTTTCTAATCCTGCATGCCTCAGCACAGCCAATTAATATCACTTAAACTCTGCAAGATCTCCTCCACAATAACCAGACAGGAATTAATAAACACTTCTCTGTTGGGGATTCATTTCGATGCTGCACAGCACTCCCATTCTCAGCAGTGCTTCACAGTGCTTTTTACCAAGTCATTGTGCCTGAGCACTTACCAACAACTAAATCTAGCTAAAAGCCATTTTATAGTGGAAAGACAAAAGAGGCAAACACTATTGTTAAGCTAGTGGACCCAATAACCTAGTTGGTATGGAGCAGCAACAGTTGAGTCAGAGTCATTTGATCAAGGAAGAAAATATGTGGTATTTATTTACAGTGCAGGTGATGGAGGGAAAACTAGATCCAGTGGGAGTGTTTATACATAAAATATGCAGATAATGAAAATGAATTGGCAAAAATACTTGGTTGAAAAACAATGAACTTAATTGGCCAATACTGCAATAACTCAACAGGAGTACAAAGGCAAATGCACCTTAAACACAGAGCAAAACGCCCATAAACTCACACATTTGAGTATAAACTGTAACAACATGTTAACTCAATAACACAACGGTCGCGTTCCCCTGCTCAGACATTGCATGCATCAACCAATGGTTGCGTGCCCCGTCATCGACTGTGCCGTCGGGCACCAGATTGCTATAACATATGATGAGATTGGCTGATACTTAAAATACCTATCCAGGTGTTGTAAGATCTGGCATGCGTCAGCAATGCCTGGGCAGAGGAACACGCCCAATAGCTCTCATGGATGAGGAGAACGGTAATCTGGCATAAACCAGTCACACCTTTAAAAAGGGTTAGTGCTACCCGGGATCCTTGGGATATCCCTACCCAAACCCTAACCTTAACCCCTACCCTAACCATAACCCTTACCTAACGTTAAGCCTTACCTTAATCATTTTAAATTTCAACTTCAATGGGTTAACTTCAGAGTTGGGACATCCCAAGGATTCCAAATAGCACCTACCCATTTAAAAAGGTAGGCTACATTCTCAAACAACACTAACACACTTAAAATGCAATACTATTGCAATCATTTTCATAACAATGGTCAATACTTTACACGTTATTGAAAACAAAGATAAAGTATGCTGAAACATGAGCGTTTACAATCAACTTTGGAAACACCCCACCCCTTAAACGAGATAAACCATAAAACCTAATGAGAGGCGAGCCACCTGTGCATTTAAAGGTGGGAACTTCCCGATGCGCTCACCTACTAGGAGGAGGAGCCAGTTCACAGCACTGGTGAGCAGAACCACTGAGGTAGAAAGAACTGGAGACTGCGTTCAAGATGTCCGACCGTTGTTTTCAAGGTAATCTACTCGTGTTCGTATACGCCAATTCATGGACTGTCTATATCCGGGTTGCATCCGGTTTACACGGACCAACATCACATGCGCACCAGCACTCAGTGTGCACAGGGAGCATCAACAACGTCATCACGTCATCCAAAAACATGGCAGACATATTTTCGACTGAGTTACAATTATTTGAATCATTCAATGGATGTTTTGTGCACAAAGGTGATGACTAAAGTGTCTTATTAGGATTTTTCTCGTTGTGGCAGTCTATGGAATTTGACTTTCTGGGCCAGGCATCAGTTAAACTGCATTACCGAAGCAAGACTATAGGAGCAGTCGAAACCGTGCTTCTAGACCAGAACCCTTGCCCTTGAGTAGAACATGTTGGCGTTAGCTTCGTATTACCAGACTGATGACTGCTACCGTACAGCAAATGATTTATGTGAAATGTGCTGCATGGTCAATCTGACAGTCTGCATTGGCCATGCAGCATTTATGGTGATACGGCCTCTGCAGAAGTCAGGGCATTCATACTACTTGCGCTTCGCGGCGCAGCGCAGAGCTGTTGTGAAGGAAGTTGTCAAGGAAGTGAGTTTGTGTTTTATACAGGACCTCCCGCCCTCACCTAACGTCAACCAATAATGTCAATGCGGAGCTATATGGAGCCCTCCACATTGTTACTAAATTTGGTAGGCGCACGGCGATGCGGTAAGGAGCTCAATTTGGCCTCTGCGTGCATCTGGAGGCTCCGCAATTGCGTCACACCCTCCAAATGGAGCCTCGGACCACATTCGAATCAAGCATAAATTGGCTTTGAGTTTGAGAAATCCGGCTGGCTCGCGAAGCTAGGTTGGCGTTACCAAACCAATGAAATACGAAGCTAAACATTTCTAAAATAAATATGGTTACCAGACTATAGCGTTTGTTCTTTATATGATACAAAGAACAATGTCTGATAGGACCAGCGATAGCATATTTAGGTTAGCAAGCAATGTTTGACAAACAATTAGTCTGTATGAAGACGTCACAGCTCTCATTGGTATGGAGGAGGGTACAGGAGCACATATATCTGCCTTCACCATAAAATGTGCCTCTATGCCAGGTACTCATTCAGTAATTAGGGAAAACATGGTGTGGTGATGCTCTTGGCTGAGCCATTTCATGTCTGTCTCTGTCTGGAGGCCTCATTTTCTTATTTTTTGGAATCTCTATGGAGAGGCCTTGGAGTGAAAGCATCCTGGCGCTCCAACCCCTCCATTGGGGTATTTGTGATGATGAAACAGTCATTGATACCTGCCCTGCCTGGCTTAGCAAGGTTGGCTCACAGGCAGAGTTATGCTAGCATTATGCTAATGTTGCTCCCAGTCCCAGAGATGGGAATGGAAATGACTGTAGCTCTGTTCCTAGCTGGGAGTAATTAGCGCAGCATAATTAAAGGCCTTCATTACATTCCCACTCAATGGAGGCTCAACTGAAGCTGTGACTCTGAACTGAAAGCTCGATCTCCCCATCGTTTCTAGACCTGGGATCAAATACTATTTGAAATCTTCCAAAATACGTTTAGTGTTTGCTTTATGGAGTTTTTATGGTGTTTACCTGCCTGGAGTGCCAGGTGGGCGGGGTTTGTTCTTTTGTGACTATTCTATTCTAGCACAGATACAGTATTTTAAATTATTTCAAATAGTATTCAAACCCATGTCTGATTCATTCCATAGATATGAATGCTGCTGAATGACTAAATGGAGGGAGGAGGTGGAGGCGAAGGTTGTTACACTGTTAGCGCTTGGGCTCTCTCTCCTCCTTAACCACTTTCTCAGAAGCAATTGTGATTATGATTACCTTATTCTGCTGCCCAAGGGAAACCTCTTCCTTTCTTCTCTCCCTGGTGATGCACTCAGAGATTAGGTTTGTGGAATGGTGCAGGGGAAAACAGGTTCCACCTTCCGATAACATGGGACTCAGGGTTGTAATAGCCATATTTGAGATTTCATTGATATTCCCCCTAGTAACTGGTGACACAGGCATTACAATAACACAGGCCCTGTCATTACAATGATGTTGCTACACTGCCCTCTCCTGCACAAATATGGAACTGAAGCCACTCCCATAAAAATATAAAATGGGAATTGTTTTGCATGCACAGGAGGTTGGTGGCACCTTAATTGGGGAGAACGGGCTTGTGGTAATGGCTGGAGCGGAATCTGTGGTATGGTATCAAATTAATCAAACACATGGTTTTCAAGTGTTTGATGCCATTCCATTTTTGCCGTTCCGGTCATTATTATGAGCCGCTCAGCATAATAATAATAATAATAATAATAATAATAATAATAATGAGTCGGACAGAGTAATGCATATTTCAAGGCTGTTACAAAGGTGAACTTTATTCATTAAGGTTCACTTGTTTATTACGTTGACATTAAATTGCTGTGGTTATTAATTCAAAAAACAATCAGTGGATTTATCATATAATTATGTTTCAGGTGGTTCTGGTTCTCCATGATTAATTGATTGCAATTCATTTTTATGTGAACAACTCAGTAGGGCTAGATTTATTTTAGTGTGAAAGACCTCATTATAAACACCTATATCTCTTCTATTCTCACAAACTGGTTCTCTCTTTTACATGAAAAATAAATAAACAAGTGAAGCCGCTCCGGTTACCCGATCCCCCTTGGCCACACACTCAGGTCCTCCCAGATCCAGACAGTGCCACCCACCCAAATACGCACGCACGCACACACACACACGCACAAACACACACACACACACACGCACAAACACACACACACACACACACACACACACACACACACACACACACACACACACACACATACACACACATTCAGTATGTTGGTGGTTTTTTATGTGTTGAATCCTCTCAAACCTGTTGCTGTGTTCTGTCTGTGTGTCCCCTCCAGTTTGCAGCGTGGGTAGACGCTGTGGTTTTTGTCTTCAGTCTGGAGGATGAGATCAGTTTCCAGACGGTCTACAACTACTTCCTGCGTCTGTCTAGCTACAGGAACACAGCAGAGGTCCCCATGGTCCTGGTCGGGACACAAGGTATTTATTTTGAACTTTGATTTTAACTAGCAAGTCCCTTATTTGGATTGTTAGCTCCATCCCATAGATATTAGGCAATAGTGGTAGTTTGTGGGTTAGAGGTAGCCAGTTCTTACCATACACCTGACAAATATAGACATAAAGATGTAAGTAGACTGTGAGTTTTTCCTCACCCTGACTTTGTGCCCTGACCAGGAAGAACTCTGGGCCTTAGTTTTAGCATAGACTTGAGACTAGTGTGGATTTTCACACACAGTGCATTTGGAAAGTATTCAGACCCCTTGACTTTTTCCACATTTTGTTACGTTACAGCCTTATTCCAAAATGGATTAAATTTCATTTTTTCCTCATCAATCTACACACAATACCCCATAATGACGAAGCAAAAACTGGTTTTGAGAATATTTTGCAAATGTATTACAAATTAAAAACAGATGCCTTATTTATATAAGTATTCAGACCCTTTGAGGGTCGAAATTGAGCTAAGGTGCATTTTGTTTCCATTGATCATCCTTGATATGTTTTTACAACTTGATTGGAGTCCACTTGTGGTAAGTTCAATTGGATTGGACATGATTTGGAAAGGCACACACCTATCTATATAAGGTCCCACAGTTGACAGTGCATGTCATAGCAAAAACCGAGCCATGAGTTCAAAGGAGTTGCCCGTAGAGCTCCGATACAGGATTGTGTCGAGGCACAGATCTGGGGAAGGGTACCAAAACATTTCTGCAGCATTGAAGGGCCCCAAGAACACAGTGGCCTCCTCCATTCTTAAATGGAAGATGTTTGGAACCACCAAGACTCTTCCTAGAGCTGGTCTCCTGGCCAAACTGAGCAATCGGGCGAGAAGGGCCTTGGTCAGGGAGGTGACCAAGAACCCAATGGTCACTCTGACAGAGCTCCAGAGTTCCTCTGTGGAGATGGGAGAACCTTCCAGAAGGACAACCATCTCTGCAGCACTCCACCAATCAGGCCTTCATGGTAGAGTGGCCAGACGGAAGCCACTCCTCAGTAAAAGGCACATAACAGCCCACTTGGAGTTTGCCAAAAGGTACCTAAAGGACTCTCAGACCATGAGAAACAAGATTCTCTGGTCTGATGAAACCAAGATTGAACTCTTTGGCCTGAATGCCAAACGTCACGTCTGGTGGAAACCTGGCACCATCCCTACGGTGAAGCATGGTGGTGGCAGCATCATGCCGTGGGGATGTTTTTCAGCGGCAGGGACTGGGAGACTAGTGAGGATCGAGGAAAAGATGAACAGCGCAAAGTACAGAGATCCTTGATGAAAACCTGCTCCAGAGCGCTCAGGACCTCAGACTGGGGTGAAGGTTCACCTTCTAACAGGACAACGACCCTAAACACACAGCCAAGACAACGCAGGAGTGGCTTCGTGAACAAGTCTCTGAATGTCCTTGAGTGGCCCAGCAAGAGCCCGGACTTGAACTCTATCGAACATCTCTGGAGAGTCCTGAAAATAGCTGTGCAGCGACGCTCCCCATCCAACCTGATAGAGCTTGAGAGGATCTGCAGAGAAGAATGGAGAAACTCCCCAAATACAGGTGTGCCAAGCTTGTAGCGTCATACCCAAGAAGACTCAAGGCTGTAATTGCTGCCAATGTGCTTCAACAAAGTACTGAGTAAAGGGTCTGAATACTTTTTTATTTGTATTACATTTGAAAAAAACCAACATGTTTTTACTTTGTCATTATGGGGTATTGTGTGCAGATTGATGAGGCAAAAAAAACTATTTAATCCATTTTAGAATAAGGCTGTAACGTAACAAAATGTGGAAAAGTCAAGGGGTCTGAATACTTTCCGAATGCACTGTACATCATCCCCCAAATGGAATTTTCTCAGAACAATATTACATTGTTGTTGGTGCTTTTTGTCCTTCCCCAGATGCCATCAGTGCTGCCAACCCCAGAGTGATCGATGACTCGCGGGCCAGGAAGCTGTCCAACGACCTGAAGCGTTCCACCTACTACGAGACCTGCTCCACCTACGGCCTCAATGTGGAGAGAGTCTTCCAAGATGGTAAGGGCTGAGGCATTAATTAACTAATGAATCTCCCCTTGATAAGCTGAAGGAGATATGTCAGTGCTGGGCTGGGACTAGAATGTGGAACCCTGTGGATCCCTGCGATCAGGATTACAATATAATGGTCTACAGTGTACCATTGTATAGGCCGACGTCCGCCCATAGTGTTTCTACTGCTATCCAGTATCCAACCTTCCCTAGTAGATGCTTGAGCCATTCATGTTATATATTGAATGAGAATGTGATGTCAATGGAAAGGCTATTGGTAAGAAATATATAATGGGGAGAAAGATATGACTATTTTCAACACAGTGCCAATAGCCAAGAAGAAACGTATGTCTGCTTTAAGAGAGAGAAAAGTGTGTGTTCAAGGAGAAAACATCTCTGAACTTATGACAACCTTCATTTGAACACAACAACATCCTGTCCTGATTACCACAGTACAATACCCTGCTGGGTTCAGGACATCTTTTTAACAACAACTTTTAAACAGTCCCCAAACATTCTCTTTACCAAACTTTATGAATACATAACGCAGCTTTCACTTTCTCCTTTCATTGTTTGTTGACGCACAGAGCCTTGCAGTCTCCAAGCTGTATTAATTGCTTGCTTTTAAATAATTGAAAGACGTGAAAGTGTTTGGTGTCTGGAGATCGAGCGGCTCCTCCATTCCATTTTTTCCATGCTACTTTAGCCATCAATACCAATACACTCCCCAGATGTCAGACAGACTTAAACTCTTCTCTCTCCCTCGGCCCTCATTCACGTCATGCAGAATAACAGATCCCGCTCCTGCTGGAGTCTACAGCGAAGTGATGGGTGGCTGCCTACGCTGTTTGCATGGCCAATCAGGTCCCTCTGTACTACACAAGGCTCATTTGGTTAAATTCACACCACAGATCTCCCTGGGCTTAAGACAGGCTCATTTCTCTGAACAACATATGGCAGGAGTATTTTCCCTTGGAAATGGAGATGCTTTGTATCTCTGGAGAACTGTATAAGGTTAATCTCTCCATATGTAACGTATTACCTGATTGAAAAGAGAATTGCTCTGAAGTGGTTAATATCAGTGGACTTGTTGATATTAGAGTTTACATTGTGAAGATATATACTTATCCTGAAAGTCATTGTAATTCATAACAGAGTCGTCGACACTTGTTGTGTTTGATTCCTAACCCTCTGTCTCTCTTTCTCTCCCACCAGTCGCCCAGAAGGTGGTGGCTCTGAGGAAAAAGCAGCAGCTGTCTATTGGTCCGTGCAAGTCCCTTCCCAACTCGCCTAGCCACTCATCAGTCCCCAACGCATCCATCCCCTCTGTGCATATTAACCAGGTGAGGCCACACCCCCTGCCAGAATATTTCTAACTAGGGCCAGGAGTTTTTCCTGACCACATGACCTGACCAGGGAAAACTCAGGGCCCTAGTTTTAGGATATTACTTGTCAGGTTACGTGGTCAGGAAAAACGATGAGCTTCTTCTGTGCAATTGGTACATGCAGCAAGACGTAGGCTGGACACTACTGAAAATACAGGGCGTACAGTAGCCTACATAAACTATATATTATGATTCAGCTTTCCCAGATCCTACCTTCTTTAACTGACTAGTTTGTTCTCTCTCCCTCTCCCTCTCCCTCTCCCGCTCTCTCCATCTTTGTCCCTCCTCTTCCAGGCGGCGAATGGCGGGGGTGCGTTTAGCGACTACTCCTCCTCTGTGCCCTCCACTCCCAGCATCAGCCAGAGGGAGATGCGCATTGAGACCATCGCCGCCTCCAACACGCCCACACCCATCCGCAAGCAGTCCAAGCGCCGCTCCAACATCTTCACAGTAAGTATGCGGCAGCTGATGCAGAGCAACACCCACTCGCACTACTAGAGGGCGCAGTACCGCGCACACACACTGTCCATCAGAGGGAGACAAAGACAAAGCCGCCCTCTTCCTGGCTGTATCAGATACAGGCACAACAAGCCTTCCTGGTTTACTCCTTATACAAGCAACAAAAATGGGCAAAGGAGAAAAAAATGATAAGGATAACAGTTGCTGGTTGCCCCCTGGGTTGTATTTTGAACCCATACTATGAAAAAAATGCTTCATTTCTTTTTCTTTTTTTCTTATTTTAAAGCAAATATCAAAGCTAGAAGCACTGTGGAAAAATATCTCAGCTTTTTAAAACCTTTTTTATGTTGGTAACATTTCCCTTTCCTTTCCAATTGAAAGTAAATGCGCATGAGTTACTCATCTTTCACTTATCCCCTCCTCCTGGCCCCTCTGTCTCAATCTTTGGCCTTCCTCCCTACCCCTCTTATTTTTACTAGATCCTTTCTTTGCAGTGACTCCCTATTGGGGGAGAGAAAGGGTGAGGCAAGGCTACACCCCACCAAAGACAGCAATGCAACTTCCCCCCTACCCAGCCACACTAAACTAAAAGTCAGGGACAGACCATAACCATTTCAGTCACTACAGAGTCAGATAATGCATGCTCTCCCTCGCTCCCCCCTCCTTCCCTACCTTACTCTAGATATCCCTTTTCTAACCTTTGCCCTTACCCCAGATATCCCAGCTCTTACCTTTGTCCTCTGGCTCCTAATCAGTGTACTTACCACAGCTTGCCCTGCTCAACCCTCTTCCAATTACCCATACTTCTGAGAGCCGTAGTTAAACCTCTATCCTTATTCTAGCTTCTACCTGAATTGCCCTTATACAATCCCGTTGCGCAGCTCGAACCTTCCCTACCTTTGAGACCCTTGCACTAACCGCTGTACTTTCCTCAGCTTCCCTAGCTCCATCCCATCCCTTCTATCCCTCCCTTTCTCTTACCTCTACCCCAGCCTCTCCTGCTCCAACATACCTCCATCCCTTCCCCAGGTTCGCTTTTTTGTACCTCTACCTCTCCCTTCTAACCCCAGCCCCCTCACTTCCTCTAACCTCTCCCATCTCCCCCTACTCCAGCTACTGTGGTAGCCATTGCGGGGCTCTGGGCATCAGAGCAGTGCAGATTGTCTGTCAGTTAGTAGCTCCCCTTGTCTTCTCCCTCCCCCTGCTAGGTAGTGACTAACCCTGTTCACCAGAGACATGAGCCTCTGCCCGTCCGCATCATGGAGATGCCCAAGCATGCCACCTATCCCGTGTGGGTGCCCGACTGGCAGGCTGAGCGGGAGTTTCAGCTCATGACCTTCTGAGGAGCGGCCAGCCAGGGGTCGGGAGGGACAGGGAGGGGCAGAAGATGGTTGGAGGGGGGAGAAACAAAGGGTGTGGGGGGGGGGGGGGGTCGACGACGACTCCATTTCCCAAATGACACTTCAAGAGCACAGCGTGGGCCAAGGAGAGGAAGGATTTTTGCCAGTTTTACAATACAAGAGAAAAATTAAAGTTTTGTTTACCAAGCAGCATCCACTATAAGACTATTTGTTCTCACTTTGCTTTTTCATCAATCTCAGTTTGGAGGACCTCTTGAGGAAACAGAATTATTAACGTGCCGAACACAATAGAGGAGTCCTGAACATCTCTCTCTCTGGCCACAAAAAGTTAGCATTGCAAGTGTTATAATACTGACTTGCTATCTCTTCTAATCATAGTAGTGGGTAGTTGTGATCCCTAACCGTTTTTTATTCAGTTGGAGAGTTGTAGTCAGGATAGAGAAGAAGCCTTAATGTCGTGGGTTATTTTGATAGATTATACAACACAGTAGTATCTATTGCTCTCCCAACCCTTTTGGTTTCGCTTTCCTTTTCTTAAGGGGTTTTGTGGGCTTTTTGATCAGATAGATAGACCTTTCAAAAGCACACTCAAACTAATTAGAAACAACACTGTGGCTAACTTTTCGGTCATATTCATAAAACCACAAGGTGTTGTACTCACAGTATTGCTAGTTAGAATATGCCAGGCCCATTCTCCCAATATGTTTTCTGTTTGATATATTTCAGTTTAGATATGACAGTGTATTGGCTGTATGATACATTATAAAGCACAATTTATTACTGTTCTACATGCGTAGTCAAAGGTCACTGAGGGAAAAAGTCAGAATACTAACAGTCACTACATAAACTACTCTGGATCCCAGTGCACACTGATTATATGGCATGCTCTCTAATCAGATTTGGGGTGTCTGAAGTGCTTTGAAGTAGCCTAATCTTAAAAAGCTCAATTTTTTGGGGGGTGTAGGCTATTGCCACCAACTCATGTTGAACTATAATTAGATATATGAATATAGTTGATTTAGGTTACTGACTATAGATTTAGTGAGCACTGGGCACCATCGGAATATTTAAATTAGCTGAGGCTACCTTGATAAAACAAATTATTAAGCTTTATATAGTGCATTGCAAACTGACTGGGGAATCTGCCTCTTTTGGAGCTTTTATTTGTCAAAGGTCCTAAAAGCTTTACTTATAAAGACGTTGGTTTATCCACCATGTCTTTTCACCACCTTCATCACCGGTCATTCAGTCTCACCAGCCATTATCACCACCCTCAGCCCACTTCTTTCATGACTAGTAATGGCCACTAGGTGTCAGCTGAGTTCACATAAATTATTTCCTAGCGCTTCCATGGTTTAGCAACCACATCAATAGGTTTTGGCATATCTCATATATTTTCTGAGGTGTTTGAGGCATTTTTGTTCTTTCGCTATGTTCAAAAGCACCACCATGACAAATACCTTTTTGCATATTTTTGTGTTACTTCTTTTGGCCACATCTAAACCCCATACCATCAACTCCCATGAATAATTGTCAGCTATTTTAGTTCCTTTTGTACTTTTTACTGGATGTCCACTCTAAAAGAAACAAAAAAATAACCGCCTGGAATGTTTTTTTTCCTTCTTCGATATTTGCAGATTTGTGCTAATTTTCCAACCTTTCTTCGACAAAAAGGGCTTTACAACTCCTTCCTCATTAAGAGCGCTGTGCTATCAAAAAAGCACATTTCACCCCAACGAGTTGTCCCTCTGGCCTGTCATACCCAATAGGGAGGAGAAATGACTGGGGACTAGAGCGGGTTTGCTGCTTTACCCTAGTGCCCCCTTTGCTTAATTGTTCCCTCGGGAGGTGCACTATGGAAACCATAGAACTTTGTGACAAAAAAAGCAACAAGTAACATTGGAAGTTGCTGAGTAGATTTGGGAGTCAGTTCGTGCTCTAAGTAAAAATGGTCAAATTCACACTCTGGAGTGTGACAGACTGTAGGAACTCTTCTCTGCTGGAAATGCCCCCCCCCCCCCCCCCCCCCCTCCCCCCCACGTCCTTCTAGCCCACCTTGCTTCACACCCTTACAAACAGTCTGTGTACAGTACAGTCAAGTCATGCTTGGAATTATAATTCAACCACTCAAAAGGACACGGCCCCCTTACATGACATCACACTGCCTTTTGCCATAAAACAAGGACTCAAGGACTAGAGGTGCCAAGTACATTCAGTTGTTTACTCCCTCTTTGTTTTCATTGTTTTTTCTTTCATTTCTCTTTCTTTTCAGGGAAAGTCTTGAATGGACTTAAATATGTGGCAAACTTAAATAAGGCAATGTTAGGTGATGTTGGGTAGTTTTATGAAGGCCTTCATAAAAATTAGAGTAGGGTGTCAGGGACAAGTGGTATCATACAGAATAATGAATAACTAATGGGAATTGGATTGCACTGACTTGTATGAATGTAGTGTCTATTTATTTAATTTGACTATGATTTGGAAATATCCATTTCTCCATCCTTTATTATTGATATTTATTTACTTTATTAATTTTTGTAGTCATTCATTTCAATTTGGGTTTGGTATGAAGATTATGACCTTATTCCATAATCGCTTTTATATCATTTACAAATGGACAAATATAAGACTTCTGTATATCTTGTATTGTATTTTATTTACAATGGTACTCTATAGAAAGTATATTATATACATATATGAAATATATATAAAAAATAATGCCTTTATTGTCCATCCTATATTTTGTGGGAACTGCAATGTTTGGCTCATTCTGTTGATCTTATTTGGGAGTGAAACCTGTGACTTGATTTGTATGGTGTCTGTATAGAAACAAAAATAATCAGAATAAAAAAAAATGTTGAAAATTATAAACCAGAGTTGGTTTACTTGAACTCAGACTCTACCTCTCTCCATTGGCGATTGATTGGGCATCCCTTCATCCTGTTCTGAGTGAGACCATAACAGTTTTGTCTGTTGGTTATGAGTGACATTTCCTGTATTTCACCTGTTAGTCCGTGCTTTGGGGATATTCTGTGTACAAGTACTGTGTTTTGTCAGAAACTGGGGTAATACTGTATGTTCACTGCTCAACTATTTTCCCCTCCACAGTCTGTAATTTGAAATGTAATGTGTATGCAGCCGGTGTTGGTGAAATGTGCTGCTGCACCTGTTCACTGATGTGTTCCACTGTTGTTTATAACGCAGCTGTACTTCTAATCCTAACACTGTGAATGACTTGAAATGTATTTTCCCTCCTGGTGTTCCAATCGGAATTTCAGAGGAATTTGAAAGGAAACGCTATATGAAACTCCTATATGATAACCTTCTTTCCCTCTAACCTGCCTTTTCTCCTTTTTATTGCATTTCAACTTGACTTGTCAATGTATCTATGCAAAACGGCCCAGCTGGGCCTTAAAACTTGATTTGGACTAACCTAGAAAGGCCCACTGTGGGTCTGAGAGAGGGGTGTTCCTCTCTGATCTGGAAGGGTCCACTGTGGGCCTAACAGAGGGATGGATCTCCCACAGGTTTACAGGACTGAGTCATGACTCAATGTGTGGTCGTCTTTTGGTCTACTACCTATTATGTGTTGAGATGTTTCCTCAGTGTCTGGTCTGGTCTGTTCTGGTTTGGTCTTTTTTTATTACTGCACGCATGTCAATGTTACCGCTATATGTTACGCTGGTCTGCTTGTTTGTTTATTTTCCAAGCTTTTTTGTTGTTGAGAATTTTGTTTTGCGATGTTGAGTTCGCCTCCCAACCGCTCTCCACACACACACACACACACACTTCCCACACACCCCAACCTCCAAACATTCTTACCTCTGACCCCCATGCTCATCTTGATACATGCACCTTACTCAACTCCCATCTCCCCATCTTCCCCCTCCATGTTTTTTCCAGTGACCGACTGACTCTCTTGTTTCCTTGCAGTCACGGAAAGCCAACAGTGAACAGGCAAAGACCACTGACAGTAAAACAGATAGCATAGGCAGTGGAAGGGCCATACCCATGAAACAGGTGAGTGTCTTTCTACTCCTACACTAGTCATAGATCGTGTCTAAAATCACACCCTATTCCCTATATAGTGCACTACTTTTGCCTAGGGCCCTGGTCAAAAGTAGTGCACTTTATATGGAATAGGGTGCCTCATTCTGATCACCAATAGTCTTCAGGTAAGTATAGCACATTCAATGTGTAAGTAGCACATTTCTACCCTTTAGTGCGTACACTTCCCTCCGTATGTATTTGGACAGTGATGCAAATGTTTTTATTTGGCTATATACTCCACTATTTTGGATTTAAGATACAATGTTTCATATGAGACAACTGTTTAGAATGTCACCTTTTTTATTTGAGGGTATTTTCATACATATCTGATTTACCGTTTAGAAATGAAAGCACTTTATATATCTAGTCCCCCGATTTGAAGAAGTCATAAGTATTTGGACAAATTCACTTAGTGTATTAAAGAAGTCAAAAGTGTAGTATTTGGTCCCTAGCACACAATGACTACATCAAGCTTGTGACTCTACAAACTTGTTGGATGCATTTGCAGTTTGTTTTGGTTGTGTTTTGGGTTCTCTTTCAAATACTAGTTTCGATGTCTCACTCTGGGATTCGCTGAATAGGTGGATAACTACGGAAGAACCAATCACACCATGTCTGTCGGAGACAGACAGATCGAGTGGCGAATGAGGTGAGCCCCTCCCTCTTTATAAGGCGCCCCTCGCCCCACCCTCTAGTTACTATCGTTCTCTTCCTTGCGAAGATCACTACGCTCTCTAAGCTCTCCTCAGCACGACTTGATCACAGTCTTCCTGCTTAACTGTTCTCAGGCAAACTGCAAGGTTAACGCTGCTCAACGTAGGACTTCAGCTCTCGTCCTTCGTGTTGAGTACTGACTAAAAGGAACATTTTTGCTAAGATTAGAATGAGCTTTTCACCAGTTTCTACTTGCTCTAAGTCTCCAGTTGTATCTA